TGGTGATGATAACGGTACCTCTCATCATAGGGGTGTTGGGACAATTTAATGAATTAATGCAGGTCATGCTTGTGGAACAGTGCGTGGTACACAGAGGTTCTCAGTCTCTCTTAGTCACTGGCAGAGTTCTGAATGCCTTTGATTGTTGGTAGGAATCACCTTTGTTCTCACAGGTAGATTAACCTTCACTTGGATCAGCAGTAGTATTTTTTGGAACTAGGCCCAAGGCCCTTGCAGGTGACTACTTGGAAGGGACTAAGGCTCCGTTTTTCTGAATGCCTAAGGTGGGGGAAGCACATGACCCTCGAGTTCCAGCTGCAGGTTTCAGCTGAGAAAAATGCACCCTGGGCTCACTTCTCAGGCTGTCTCCTGTGCCTGTGGCGGTTGGAAGATACCGATCTATATGGCTGGCCCTTCTTGACCTCTCTGAAACAGTAGTTTCCTTGTTTGCAATGGGACAAAAGAAAAAAATCTACAGTCTCTTATCTACAGATCCCAGCCAAACAGTCTGAAATCCCAAAGTTTTCCTTAACTCATTTGGTGGCAAAACCTGACCTGCACTAACGCGAACTCCTTGTGACCTTGATTATGTCTCTCATTGTGGATATTCCTGTTTTGCTGCTGAAGAATCAGTGCCTTTGCTCATGGAGTGCTGTGCCAGGCCTGGTGGGGTGGATGCATAGAAGGGCACATACACCTGTGTCAGGGTCCCCGAGAGCACGTCCGTTCGATGATTTATTAGGAGGACTCGGGGCTAGAGTCTGTTACAGCAGGCTGAGTGAAGAAGGGGTGGAAGTTTTAGGGGGAAACCAGACACAGGCTTCCAGGAATCCTTTCAGTGGTGACACACAGGATGCCCTGGATTCCCCAGCAACCAGGTGTGACACGTGGGTGGAACGTGGCCAGCCAGGGAAGCTCATAGAGACCTGGAGCCCAGGATTTCTATTGAGGGGCTGGTCACATCGCCTCTACCTGGCGCTTACAAACTTCCAGACTCCCAGCAGGAAGAGGGGTGTTCAGCACACACCCACATTGCTTGTATAAACAGTTCAGGCGCAGGGAGCCGCTTGCATCAGTTCTGAAAACGATGGGAGCTCTCCCCAAACCCGAGCTCCCAGATGCCAGCCAAGGGCCAGATTCGTAGCAGACCTTCAAATATAATAACCTCCTGCTGGCTGTGGTAGCTCTTCTGCTCAACACCTAATTACATCTGGTCCCAACGGTTCCAATAAAGGATCATGAACCTGCATGTTCTTTTTAATATATATTTTTATTCATTTCAGAGAGGAAGGGAGAGGGAGGGAGAGAAAGAGAGAGGAACATGGACCCATTGCTCCACCCATGAATGCTCTGATTGGTTAATTCCTGACCGAGAGGGATCACAAACCCTGGTGTATAGGGTGACGCTCCAACCAACTGAGCCGCCCGGCCACGTGGACGTCACGTCTTCGTGGGAGAAATGGCGTCACACTGCCAAGGGGGTTGACACAGGGAGGTGGGTCAGGGTCCCGGTCACCGGTCACCGAAGTCGCTCAGAGCCCTGGAGCCGGGCGCCTCTGCCCAGAGGGGCCCTTTCTCCCCTGAAATCACAGACCCCGCCTGCCCTTGCGGGGAGGACGCAGGTGAAGCTGGGCGCCCGAGTCAGCTTCAGAGGAAGCCGGTGGCTGGTGCTGGCGCCTGCTGCTCAGGACTCCTTGGGCTCAGGGGTCTGGTGTGGGGGAGGAGGGGGCGTGTACGGGAAACCGGGGTCCTGACCTCCTCACCCAGCAGCCCCGGGCTGGCTTCTCTCCCATTTGGGCAGATGCACTGCCTTTGTGGAAATCGCCCCGGGCCTTGTTTCCTCCCAGGTCCTGGGGCCACCTGTCCGAAAAAAATAAAAGGAGAGCTGGGATTTGAACCCAGGCTTGCCTGACCCCAAAGGTGCGCCCTTTGCCCACCACACAGGGCCTCGGGCACGCGGGGCAGTGGCAGGAGGCGGGCGTCCAGGCTGTGCTCACGGCCTGTCTGGCGGCAGCGTCTAGGCGGCGTGCACACCGTGGCCTCGAGACGGTTGCTGACGCAGAAGCAGGAGGAGGAGCGGAAGATGCTTCGGGAGCTGCAGCTGCGGTCGTCCGACTACAAGCAGGTGCTGGAGTACAGGAAGCAGTTCCCCCCGACCTTCGCCCCCTGCGGGCTCCTGAAGAAGATCTGGACGGCCAAGGTGACGGTGTCCCCGGAGGAGCTCCGGGTGCCGCCGCGCGAGAGGCAGGACATCTGCCGGCACGTGGAGCGCATGCAGTTCG